CTTAGTAGGTAAGGTGATGCTGTTGAAACATACAAGAACACTTATTCCTTTGCTCAAAACTCTGCAAGCTACTATTTCATATAGGGAGAATGCAGAAATCAAAGTTCTTACTGTCCTCACTGGATCTGGCCCTTGTTCCTTCCCCAGACTCCATTCCTGCTCCTCTCCTCCCTGTTCCATCCACATGGCCACGCAGGCCTCCTGATGTGCTCCAATCATGTTGCCTACATTCCTGCCTCAGGGTCTTTTCATTGCTGTGCCGGAAACGGTCTTCCCCAAGATGTCCCATAACTTGCTCCCTCACTTCCTAAGGTCCTCACTCAAATGTCTCCTTTCCAGCGAGGCCTTCACCTATTTGTTTAAAATTGCAGCTCCTTCCTCCACTCCCTTTTTTGACTTACTTCTAATCTCCCTCACACTTATCACTATGTAATACGCTATATGTTTTGCTTATTTATTTCCTGTTTCCTTCCACCCAGATGCAAGCTCCAGGAGGGTGCGATGAGCATGGACACCTGGCCTGAGCGGGTTCGCTGTGAGGTGCACCCTGGGACTCTGCTCAGCACTGGAGCTCCCAAGCCTTCTGCCTGGTCTGGGAGGGACCACGCGGGCTGGGGCAGTTATGGCAGCAATGGTTACCTTGGCTGAGGGAAAGTACGAGGCCCCTTCCCAGTTTCCCAGGTACGCTATCAGCCTGAGAGAGAGAGCAGGCAGGGGGAGAGAGAGGGAGAAGACGGGAAAGGAGGGAGGGAGAAGGGGAGAGGTGGGAGGGGGGCAGAGAGAGGGGAGAGAGAGAGAGCACGAGAGGGGGAAGGAGAGAGAGACCTAAGAAAGACTGAGATTGAATTCACCAAAACTAGATGGAAAGAGGGCTTGGAATTGGATTTATTTGAATTAAGGAAAATTTTCATTACATGACATTTCCTACATGCCTAAGTTTATGAACCATAATTCATACTCACTACCACAGTTCTTATTACTTGAATAATGGAAAGAAGTAAGTCGACAGAACAAGACAAATCCTGCTCGGTGCATGCCATGAAAACTGAGTCCAGGGACAGAAATACAAGGGTGAGGAGAACTTTCTATCTCTCCCCCAACTCCTGATGTGGGCACACCATGCTTAATTGTCTCTTTCAGAATCTCCCCCATGATTTCCTAATAAGTTCTGATATGCACCCGAGCCAGTCCTCACTTCCTATGTGGAAGAAATGCTGCTAATGAGGAGAGGTTCAGCTCAGATTTGTTTGATGACCAGAAAAGCTGACTCTTCAGTCCTCACACCCCCCGTTGAGCAAAGGCGCACCTGTTTTTTTTTTTTTTCATCCTCCCTCGCTCCAGCAGGAATTGCCCACAGAACCCCATGTGGATGCCAAGATGCCAAGGCTCATTAGCCAACAAGCGCTGTTGATTCCTCTGCCTGAGATTTAGGACCTCAGTGTTTCCCTGCAGGGCCGTGGCATGTGGAACTCCACGCAGCTTTTGAAATCTGGCATCCTTGTGGAACAGGGACAGTCTGTTCATTGAGGGGAAGAGCTGCTTGTTTGTTTCAGCTCTGGATGCCAAAAAAGAAAAGAAAAAAAATCAACTGTTTGCCTATTTGGCTGGTATTAGGGCATAACATCTCTATTTTCCTCTTTTTTTTTTTTTCTCTTCCTTAGGGGTTAATATATTTTGCTGAGGGTTCAAGGTTAAAAGATTTGTATTCTGTCACAATATCTGACAATTTTATTACTAACACCTTGGGAGCCCTATTTCTGGTCACTTTTCAAGCCTATCTGAAATCGACTTCACTTCCGTAGCCATCAGTTTCAATGGTTTGAAATGATCCAAATAATATTTGAAGGGAGAAGAATATTATTTTAAATTCTGGGAAGGGGCTTGGAGGGGTCCTATGACAAATTCCCTAGCCTTACAAGCAAATTAAAATCTCAGCCCACTTTTTTTTTTTAGACCCCTAGAGAATGAGATACCTTATTCTCTCTAAATATATCCCACTGTAAAATCGTTGATTATGGCAGAAAAGTACTTGGTCAGCACAAGTTCTGCCATTTATTTCATGTTTGCCTAACTTTCTAAAGTTAGCTATGCATTTCTACTGAATGGTTGATCCTAATCTAGACTGAAAAGCAGCCATGGGCAATTATCACTTTAAATAAGTGGGGGAAAATCAATACTTATTTCTTTTTCTGCGCAAATGGAAATAATGAAGCCACCATGGCATAGCCTGCTACAAAAATTACACATCCTTCAACTCTCTGAGCTCGTATGATGGCAACGATTTAACAAGAATCATGAGTCAACAGGAACACATTCAAATTTCTAGGACAAAAGCTTTCATGCCCATGACAGTCGGAAGTCTTCACGATGGTCTTTGCCTGTTCGTGTTCCTATTCGTTTCTCTTCCCTAAGTCTGTCTATGTGTTATTGCTTTATTACATGTCCTTCCTTTGTAGCTTTCAACTTCTAAGCTCCTCTATTACATTTTTATATCAGGCTGGAAACCAGAGCTAAAAATAAGGCCAGAAAAACATGGATTGATGTTTACAATAAACATTTATTGAGCACCTACCTGCACATACCAGGCACTGTGCTAGGGTTGCCGGATGACAAAGATGAGTAGGACTCAGGCTCTGCTCGCAAGGAGCTCACAATCTACAGGTGACGGAGGGGACGGTGCAGGCAGACAGATAAGCACTCTGCCGGAAGAGACAGAGCCTCTTACACAGAGACTTAACACAGGGCACTGTGAGACAGAGCCTCTTACACAGAGACTTACACAGGGCACTGTGGCAACAGGAGTTATGGGGCAAATAATTGAGCCTACAAGAATCACAGTGTGTGTGCGTGCGCGCGCGCGCGTGTGTGTGTTATGATAAGATTTCACATAAGAGAAGATTTTGAAGATGAGGCTTGGAATGTAGCTTTCTGTCAATAACTAGAGTTGGAAGAGGTTGCAATTTCAGCAAATGTCAAAACAGGAGGAATACACATCTGACGAGGTATGTCACTATGTCATTTATAGGAAACTGCAAGTAGCTTGGAATGGGTGGAGCAGAAGATCCACATGCATGATGGAAGGAGAAACTAGAAAAACAACAGGTGAAAAGATATGGAAAGACACTCCTTTAGCAGTGAAACCAGAAAGAGGTTGGGTCGCATTAAGAAGGTCTATGTTATCTTGAGAGTAACCTATTATATCTGACCAACAACAGCAGATTTTGCTGACATTGAGACCAAAATGCCAACTATTTGCAACACATATCTTTCGAATCTGAAAAGAGATCTCAGCGTGCTTCCCTGAATGTAAAAGCACCTAGGAGATCTTACCGGAATGGAATGGTGGACTGTTTACAGGAGCTGCCACAGTCCCTGAACAAGTCATTCTAATGCATAAAGAAGCGCGTTCCCAACAGAGAAAAGGCTCCTAGCTTGAACTGGAAAGTAAGTCAGATAAGCAAGATAGGCAGCTACCTAGAAACAGGTTTCACTAACGTTAGTTCTACTCCCCCAACACTATTCGTTTGACTCCATTACTGTCTTGATTGACAAAGTGACTTTTTAGTACCAAGCATGACAAACATTTCAGTGACAGCCAACTTGTATCAGGCCATTTCAAAAGATGAAGAGAGGGCAGATGTTTACACTGCATTGTCTTCGTCACACAACCTATTCTTTTTAGAAGGAAAATTCTTTAAAAGGTAGGGAAAACTTCAAACAACATGTTCAGCTGAGAGCCTCTGAGAAATGGCTGGTCATTAGAGTCCAAAGTTAACGGATCATGAATTTGATATTTGTATTTTGTATGGTCTTTTACTTGATCGGTTGAGTCTACAGGTAGTAGAAAGTCCAAACAGGTTAGAGCATCCACAGAAGGCAATGAAATGTCCCTGATATACATGTAACCCACCCAGAGGAAGTTTAACAACCTTTTCAAATCATGTGGTTTGAACCCAGGGCTGTCAGTCTATGGGAATATAAATTCATTATTTCTTACTTCCAGGTCTCCCTGGATGAAGTTCTGCTATGACCCTTAATCCACGGAACTGTTACTGATCTCATGGAACAGTTATGGGCTCAGTGATGGAAATTTTCATGTCATGGTTACCCCAATGCATTTGAAGATGGTGCAATGATCAAAAAAGATGCCAGTGATGACAATTGAACGTCCCTTTGCCTTCCCAGCCTCCTTCATATATTCTCAGGCATAGGATGACAAAGGGAAGTCCACGAGTCACATGAAGAAAGACTGTAGCCATGGGTACACGATCAGGAGCTTCTGTTTCTCTTCACCCCATCCTCCATGCCATCACCCTACTCTATTTCCTCCTCATTGTTGCTCCTGTGAATTCCTCCACCATCTTGCCACTAAGCACTGTCCTCTGCCCACAGTTCTGTTGCTGATGAATTCCAAATGAACCAATGTCCAACCCGTGTGTGACATGGAGTTTGTGTTCAAATAGTTGTTGAATGAAGTAATGACCCCCAAACCCTCCAAGGTAACAAGATTTTAGGGAAGTGTCTTTTTGAATGATATAAGGCTTCCTTATGTGAGGTGAAAGGAGCAAGCGTTCTGGAGTCACATCAGCCTGGCTTGTGCCATGCTGTGCCACTAACTGGATTTAGAACAAGGGCTTAAATACTCTGTAATGCTGTGTCATCAACTATATAAAAGGAAGATAATAATCCCTACCTTGAAGGGTTGCTGTGAGTATTAAGAGACAGTACATATGAATGCCTAGCATAGTGCCTGGAACATACCAGGGCCTCAAGAAATGCTTATCTCCCTCCTCCCTGTCTTATTCTTATGTCGGATTTTAGGATGAGAAATAATAGCGAGCAACTAATCTCCGATGTGGCTGGAAGTCTTAGAAAGAGATAAGCAGCAGTCATAGGGAGAGAGAGTGTTAGGAATTTTTAAAGGAAACGAATGGTTTTATGGTTAATTTTCTTGGTTGGGGTTTAAGAGGAGATTCATGTTGTCCATTAATTATACTTACCAATTGGGTCTAATTGGCAACTACCCCAAAATGAATAAAACAAGCGGGAGTCAAGAGAGAAAAACGGCAGGCATCCTGTCAAAAAATAAAATCTTTGAAATTTCTACAACCCGATGGTTGAATATACATTTCATTAAAGCAGATGGACTCACCCAACTTATAAATGTGTACATATGATGGAAATCTAAGTTGCATATTCAGACTTTCACAAAGCATCAAACAGCCCTCTGTACCAGCTCTACCGTGTCTCATCACTCTTTCACTTGTTGGGGTCCTTCAAATCAGCATCCCCTTTGCTGGAGAAAGCAACCCTTATTATTCTGTTTTAGCCTAGGTGACTGTTCTGGTGGTCAAAGAGTTAAACGAGGCACTCTGTGTTGAGTACTTGTAAGCATGCTTAGCCCTTAAGTAAATCCTCAAGAAACACTAGCTGTTGTTACAGTGATTCTAATAATAATCATGAATTTGGTTCTGTGTTTTCCAAGACTGAGCAGAACTGGATTGTCCCCTCTCTCCTTTTAAAAATGCTTTTCTGTTTTTGGGGGGATATGCATCCTGTTTTCAGGTGATTGGCTTACTTTTGACTTAAATGGAATATCCTCCCCCACCCCCCCCACCCCCCGCACCGTTGGCTAATGCACTTAATTTCTTTTCCTTTTAAAGAGTAATTGAAACCAATGTTGACATGTCACTCAACATGCATATTATTTACTGAAAAGACTGCCCCATTTCTCACTCTTTTCTTTCTCTTATTGCCAAGAACATGACTAATTAGATATAGCCGAATATATATTATCTATCCATATCATCTATCTACTGCTTCCTTCCTTCCTTCTATGTATGTATGTATGTATGTATCTATCTACAGAAGAAGTCACCAAAGCCATTCCATTATAATAGGTTTCCTTACTAATTTGGCTATACTATCCTAAACTGGGAGGTAAATTTAATTGTAACCTCATGCCTCTGGAGTTGTTAATTGACTAAAGAAGCTACCTTAGGTTGAGATGATTCAGTATCTCATTTCAAATCTAGGCCTCAGAGGAGAATCCCATGAACAGCTGTTTTTGCTCCTCTTTGTTCCTTCCCTAGAAACAGCATTTACGGAAGCCCCCCCCCCCCCCAGATCCTCAAGTTATGTCTTCTGGCCCTAGCTTCGTAGGATCAAGCCAGACTTCTAGAGCAGCCTCAACTGGGGGCGGTGGTTGGGCAGAGGGTAGCTGGTCGGTGAGAGATGCAGTAGGGTCTTACCCACTTTTATGGAATATTACTTGGTGAGTCCTCATTGCCCACAACCTGGCCAAGCTGCCTTGTCATAAAAATGTATTCAGTGGGGAAAAGACAAAGCAATATCCCTCCAAGCACAAAATGCAAAGGGTTGGTTCCTCTAGATTCTTAATAGGTTGTAAAATAATAAGTCAAGAGTAACTACTGTGTATTTTCCAGAAAGTTACCAATTAGCATGTTCCTGAGAACATAGATTCAACTTGGGAGCCTATGCTTCCCCAGGCCACTCTACCACTGTGTACAACAATTAGACTGCTGGCTAAACACTGTGAGCAAAGCCCCAAATAGACAACAACACAAGCATCTGTTTACGGAACCAAGCACAAAACTGGCTTAGCTCTGTCTTCCCTGCAGAGTGAACAGCACCCTGGTATTTTCAGTTTGTTTGTTTTTTTTCCTTCCAGTTACCAAACCCTAACGAACAAAAGTTAAAATGACATTTTAGTGAGGATAAACCAGATTTGTTGGAGATTTGTTGCATGGTTGAAAATGGAAATGTCTAGACATCTGGCATCTGTTGACCGTGACCCCAATTGTCTCATTATTTCCTTGATTACCCTTCTGGGCACGGTGGAAAAAGTGGTCTCAAAGGGGAAAATAGGGAAACAAAGGGCCAAGGATTGTGCTTCCAGTGAGGTTGATGCCCTAAGGACCCTGCTTTTGTTCCTTGCTGAGGTGCATGGAGAAACTTTCCTAATTTGAGTTCTCTGGTGTTGGCGTTAAATAGAGTAAGAAAACTACCTCCCAAACTAACACAGTGACTATGCTGAGCAGCAGACTAGAAGTGTAGTGTTTTGAGCTGAGATCTGTGTCAGCTAATGCACCATATGAAAAGAGGTAGGATGCGTGACTGTTTCCAAGGGGGGGCTTTCCTATCTGGAAAACGAGGCCAATGAACTAGGTGAAATATACATACACACACATATATATATATATATATATATATATATAATAGTGTATATGTGTATAGTTTATGTATATGGTTATACAGACCCCATGAGCATGAGTAGCTTTGCACCTGCCCCATCTGTGTATCTCTATATATGTAATTATATCCCAGTTATCATATATTATTCTATAGTTTATCTTTACATCCCCATCGAGGAGTATCTAGAAAAAGAAAACAATGAAACATACATGTCTTTTCCTTATGATTTTGTTATTTGGATTTCCTAAAAAACTAACCCAGTTCACAGGTAGACCTTGTTTATATTTGCAGCTAAAATAATGCAACCAGATAGGATAAACAATTTAATGAGAGTAGAACAAATTCAGTTAGACCTCATGCTAGGCCCTCAGTTTCTGTATGTTGAAAGCTTTTACCTACGCGGCTTGCAATCCATTGCTCACATTCTACCCCGCAAAATCTTACTTAAAATACTTCTGCTGAGTAGCCCCTTGAACATTCCACCTAGAAATACTCTTTGTCTGAATTCCTGTTGTATTTCATGTCATTAAAGGGCACGTAACACTTGCTGCTTATTGTAATGCAGCTCTTTGTCTCCTGTGTGGAAACAGCCTGATGGTGGGGGCTCTGATGCGGGCGGACTTCTTGGGTGGGCCTCTTACTGCCAGTCTGACGTTGGGGCCATCACTTGACCTCAGTTTTCTTTTTGGTCAATGGGGATAATAAATGGTACTCACTTCCTAGGGTTGTCATAAGGAATAAATCATATTTCTTGCAAAGTGTTTAGAATAGCATTCAATTAAACACTAGTTATTGTTCACTTATTTGTAAAACTCTAAGTTCTTCGAGCGCACAACTATGCTTTATTTCTCTTGCAACCCCTGTGGTGCTTTGTAATGTTACAGGTGCACAAGGCAATACTGGCCGGGCCATGGAAATACACAAGGGGAAATGTAACAGGCAGAGCAATCACTATTTATCGTAAATGACAGATATTTGCCCTTCTCCTTTTGCTACATTCTGAAAAGCTGAAGAACTTTAAGCCTGTGTTTTGGCTCCATAGGAAACATCTTAAAGGGACAGTGGAATAAAGAATATTGCGGGAGCCACTTTTCCACAGTGAGCACCACGGATGATCTCCAACACGATAAACAGTTGTTGAATGAGCCATTGTGTGACCCAGCTCCATCTCAGGGAGGAGGACCCTGGGAGAGGGTAGCTGGGTTTTGGGATGGCCAGGAGCATAATGAAGGGAAAATGAACAATTCCAACTTTGCTGAACTGTACTCACAGTAGAGATATAAAAGTAGGACATTTTCAGGAGCCCCATTATATTAGGATGTCTTGCTATGGCTAAGGCTTGGGAATAAATTTAGGTTGTTTTGTCATTCACTAAGTCCCAATAGGGAAGATTATTTTGCTTCTGATTTCAGCTACTGTCAAATGTAGGCATCAAATCTGTTACACTGGTCTCATATATATATTTTTTAATTTTATTTATTTGAGAGAGAGCAAGTGAGAGAGAGACCAGGAGCAGGGGGAGGGGCAGAGGGAGAGAGAGAAGCAGACTCCCCACTGAGCAGGGATCCTGACGCGCGGAGCTGGATTCCAGGACCCCAAGATCATGACCTGAGCTGAAGGCAGACACTTAACTGACTTAGTCACCCAGGCACCCTGGATGTGTATTTTTATACACATCCTTTATATATGATTGCACAATATTATTTTCTATTATGTGTCCTTAACCAGCCTCTTCTCTTAGGTTTCCTGACTTGACTCTTTCCTCTTGTCTTAGAGGAAGCAGAGGATTGCCAGCAGGCTGAGTGAGTGAGAGAAAACATGGCGGGGCTGCCTCCTTACCCAGAGGTCAAGAATGATATACATATACCTGAGGAAGGAAGATTCTGAACTTACATATTACATGGATAGGCTGACTACTTCCAAAGGTTGTCTTCTTCCCTCCTTCTCTCCCCCTGTCCATTTCTTTCCTTCCTTCCTTCCTTCCTTCCTTCCTTCCTTCCTTCCTTCCTTCCTTCCTTCCTTCCTTCCTTCCTTCCTTCCTTCCTTCCTTCCTCACATCCCCTTCCCTTTCCTCCTCTCCCGTCTCCTTCCCTCTTTCCTTCCTTCCACTACAAAGGCTGTATTTGTTCATTGTAAAAAAACAACATTGAGAAGTACTTAAAAGGTATACGTGGAACACATCAGTTCTCACCCCACCTCTCCCACCTCAGGTTTCACTCCTTAGAAGCTACGACTAATAATTATTCACCTGTCTCCTTTCAGATGTTTTATAAGTATATACATATATATATATTTTCAAATTTTTATAAACATAAATGTAATCATAAACACACAGTTGTACTGTTTTACAACAGGCTTTTGCACTTAAGAAAAAAATACCCTTGGGTATCTTTCCATATGAGCCCAAACAGAGCTAGTACATTATTTATAACTTCAGAGTATTTCACTATATGTTAACATAAAATTTAATTAGTCACTTACTCGTGAATCTTTGGGTAAAAAATACTGTAATAAATATGAATAGAATTCTTAGAAGTAAAAATATATGACTAAAAGGTATGCACATTTAAAATTTAATAGGGGTAGCCAAATTGTCTTCCAAATAAGGTTGCCCATATTTGCACACATCATAATGCATATTTCTGGGTATACTTCTGGACAGTAGATCTTTGTAAACTTTGTTTTTTGCCAACTGATAGGTTGAAAACATTTCATTGTCTTAATTTTCATTTCTTTAATTTTGAGTAAGGAAATTTGTACTTTCTTCCCTGTGATCTTCCTGTTGATATATTTTGCCCATTTTCTTAGAGAATTTTTCTTTTTCTTTGGATTTAATGTCCTTTGTTTATTATGGAAATTA